ACGGCTTGGGATGTATTTGATGAAGCAGACTTAGTACAAGGGGCTATAAGTAGAGTCTAGGGTTTAGGGTTTAGGGTTTAAGTAGAGTAGCTGCACTTACCAGTTGATATTATCCCTATTTGTGATACTTGTAACTTGTAACCGCCCTTACTCAGTCCCCTGATCCTTTTAGTTGAGGGCCGTCTTGCGACACGCAGGTAGAGGGTCTGGGGCCGCTGCTTGTCCTGCTATAGACTAATTAGTAGTGGCATCCCCTTTATAGTCCCTGGCATACTTATAGTACACCCAAAACCTTATCCTAGTTCACAGTTTATTAAGACCCTGTAGTATCCAATTCTGACTGCTTAGGGTATTGGCTTGCCGTGACCTTGGGGCGGCATGTTTGGGGAGCCAGAGATTGCATTCGCGTCATGCTTTCTGGTTGGTTTCAGGTTTGCGTCATTCACCGAAAGCTCCCGGAAAGAATCCGAACCTGAAACCCAGCTTGTCCGGAAATCCTGACCGAGGCCTTTTCTAATGAGAATAGGGTTGTTGGGTATTTTTACTATAACAATATATTAAGAAGCCCCACAATGGTATGGGTAACTATTTGGGCCCATATTACATACATCCAAGTGTGGATACCCTGCACCCCAACACTTAGATGGGGTCAAGGCAGGGTTGCGAGCACATGGTCAGCATCAAGCCGGTGTTCTAGCAATAAGACTACCACAGTAACCATATTATGCTAATCAAAAGATGTGAATATGTAGTCATAGTATAATCGGGTAGAATAGCCCAAAAGCCCGCTTCTTTTGTACCTGGCTGGCGCCTCCAAACACTTGTTTAGAGTTGTGGGGAAGAGATGAGCACGGATATTGAAGGCTCTGCTGGCAACGCGGTGCATTTGTGCCGATCCTGGCCAGGGTGGGATCAGAAGACAAAGTACAAAGATAAAGAAAGAGACAGAGAAAGCCCTAAACCCCAAACCCATTAGAACAGGGTCTAATGCGGTTCTCCTTCAGGGTGGTCGGCACATTGCACTCAAGGCCCAACTTCAATCAAGAAAGCCTACCCGAAACCTCTAGGCCTTTTTTAAGGTGGAAGAGTTTAAGTTGTCGGTTTTGCGGGTGAGCTTGTTTTGGGGCTAGGCCCTTGGGAATTTAGGATTAATGGGTTTTGGATTTCGGGTTTGGGCTTTAGGAGTTTAGGATTAAGGGTTGTAAGGTTGTGAATTGTGATGGTACCGGCGCCAAGCAGCCGCAAGCGCCGTTGCAGTTGAAGTCGTTGTCTAGATTAGTTGTGTCGTTTTTTCAGCAGCTGCTTGCTAGTTACCGTTGATGACTTATGGGTCATAAAGATTGCGTGTCTCTGTGTGCGTGTGTCCCGAAGCCCCTAAACCCCAAACACTAACTAATTCCCTAAAATTCCCTATCATCACCAGCCTCATCTCTAACACTAGATTAAAGCAGGGTTTCGGGTTAGGACTTAGATGGGTTTAGGGTCCAGGTGGGTAACTATGGGATCTCCATTGTGGGCTTGTGCCCCGACTCTCCTCGTGATTTCCATCTTTGCCACCAGAAATCTCTGCAACTTCCAAAATCGTTGGGGGCCGCCTTTTAGGGCTTAGGGTTTAGGGTTTAGGGTCTTCTGATTGAGGATCTCTCGTTCATCGGCGCCTCTTCTTCTCCTGAGCTGCAACGCCCATTGTACTAGTTGCTAAGTTATTCCCTAGGAACTGCAAAGCCCAATGTAGCAGTTACCGGGAGGATCGAAAAGTAGATCCCCGAATTTGGGGCCCTAACGACTAAAGGGTACTTGACAGGAACCCTCTTAAGGGATCTACTTTTTGGATCCTCCCTGATTCTGGGTACTGTTGCCATCAACCCCTAAACCTTAAACCCAAAACCCTAAAACTCCCGGAAAAAACCCTAAGCCCAAAACCCTAAACCCAAACCAACAAAAATAAACCCAAAACCCAAAACCAAAAAGACAAAACAAAAAAAAACCTAAACTCAAAACCCTAAACCCAAAATCCTAAAAAACCCGAGAAAACCCTAAACCCAAAACCCTAAAAAGCCAAACTAAACCCCCATCACCTCCAAGGCCCCGGGTCCCCCAAACCCCCGTGAGCCTTCAAACCCCCAAAATCCCTACAGCCCCCCAGGCCCTGGCGACCTTAAGCCTGAAACCGCCCAAAGCCTGAAACCGTCTAAACCCTCGAAAGGTTTAGGGTTTAGGGCGGTTCCGGGCTTAGGGCTTTTCTGTAGCCTTTAGGTCGCACCTCCTCGCTCGGTGGCTCCGCCGGCGCTGGCAGAGCACAGGCAGCGCTGGAACAGGGTTCCACCAAGGATTGCTTCAAGGGTCCTTTCCACCCTTTCCTTTCAGGGGTTCTGGAAGAGCTTATGGGATTGGGGATTTCAGGTTTTTTCTGGTCAAGGGCTCTGGGATTACGGGGTTTCGAGTTTCAGGGATTCGGAATTCAGGATCGGGGCTTAGGGAGAATCTAGCAAGCAGATTCTTTGGCTGCTTACCGATTAAAAACTCAGTAGTGGTAAAAGGGAATTTTGCTGGATCCTTAAAGGGGCCTGAGTAAGCAAATCTAGGAACGGAGATCTGTATAAGCTGCATGATACAAGGTAAATAGCGTGTTGGTCGTAGCAACACTGTAGTAATTATGAATATCATGTTGCTACATCCGTTCTCGTGCAGATTGTAGTTGTTAGTATGACCATCGCCACGACCAGTAATATTGCTATTGTATCCCGTGCTTGTTCCTGAGCGTACGGAGTCCTCTTGGGTGCAGCACCTCAACAGCTGCTCGGCCGAGATGTGCACTTGGATTATCAGCCTGCGATCCTCCTAAACCCTAAACCCTAAACCCTGACATCTTCGTGTCAAAGAACGAGGGCAGAAAGTTGAGCACAATGCCTCTGTCATGTGGATCGGATCTGGACCTTCCCTGAGTCTTGCTTCTGGCATCAAAGTCGTGGACAGCGTCGGACATGCCGTCTGCACAGCACATCTTGGGTTTAGGCCCGTTTAGGCACTGTCAGCAGGAGTTGGCTCCGGGCACATGCTGTCCCATGCAGTATCGTTCTGACCTCGCAGAGTCTGCCGATGAAGAGGCTCCCAAATGCCTTTCCAGGCTGCCGTGAGGCAAGGAGCAACATGCAGGCGCTGAAATGTATGCCCCTGTCCTGGGTGACAGCACGTATTCTCAAATGTTTGTTGCCCGACCACTTGCCGTGCATGAGGGGGTATCCACGGACTGTTCCCGACGTCAACGACACATCCATGTCAGCTCTGTATGCCGTGCCGCAGTCGCATAGATCGCTCAGCATTTGCCCCGATCCGCAGCATCTTGAGCAGCAGGAATGGTCACGCTTTCTGTGGATGTTGCTCAACAGACCGGAATGAAGTCGCTCTGCGAAGCATGTGCTCTGGAGTCACCCTTGACATGCCTGCGAAGCTCATTCTCCCTGTGCGGGGCATTTGGAGCCCTTTGCTAAAGTGTAATCAGTGTATATGTATACACTTATGTGTATGTGTGTATGTATGTATATATATATATACATATATATATATATATATATGTATATATACATACGCATGTATGTATGCATGTATGCATGTAGGTGTATGTATGTGTATGTGTAGGTGTAGGTGTATGTGCATGCGCACGTATGTGTGTGTTTATGTGCACGTGAATGTGTATGTATATGTGTATGTATGTGTATGTTTATGTGAATGTGTATGTGTATGTGCATGCATTCATGCATGCATGTATGCATGTGAGCACGGATGCATGGATGGATGCATGCATGGATGGATGGATGGATGGATGGATGGATGGAGGTACGTATGTATGTATGTATGCATGTATGTATGTATGTACGTACGTATGTATGTATGTATGTAATATATATATATATATATATATATATATATATACATAAGTAACATGTTATTATATATACATATATACAAATGTTGGAGTGGATTTAATATACCCTCCCCCCGGAGGTTGTTTTGCGC